GCACAACTTGCCTCAACACCCAGTTCCGGCTTGACGTTACATTACGGGACACCCTGTATAAGTAAACCCATTAATATTTGTGAAAGAATCATGAAAATTATCTTTACAAATAAATAAATAATCAAACAGTGAATCACCCCTGGTCCAGTGCCTTTGACAGAACCAATTTTTAAAAATATAGTAAGTAGTTTTTAATTTTTCAGCCAGGGTCACTCAAGATTCTTTCTTAGTAAAATTGTGTAACCTTTGTTGACATATCCAAGACCTGGTCGGTCATATACAAAAAGAAGAAGAAGACTGACATTATAGTGTCATTCTCGACAATACGCCAGGGGTGGTAAGCATTGTGGTTGAAACTTGAACAGGTGGCGTGACGTCACGGCACCGCCTATGTGTTCCACGTGAAAATATGTAGGTAATTTAAATAATTAATTTCTCAGCCATTTCTTGACGAATTTCAAAAATAACTTCACCAGCTTTTTAGTTTTGGCCTATATTTTAATCCCATTTAGAGAAATATAATGTTTTCAACATCACGAAACTTCTCCATTGATTGAGCGCAATCGGGACCCTGTTGACATATCCGGTTTCTGGGCTTCGAAATCCGGGGTTTTCAAGCCTAGTCCTGGTTGCCAAATTTTAGAGATGGCAACCCTATGTCAGAGGGACGCACCACGCAACGTCAGATGAAAGCTCGGCAGGGGCAGTGTTTGTTTAACACCTTTGGCTTGAGTTGGGGTGAGTTATCATGGACGTTTTTTCGATTCAATTCAGAAATCACACTTGTGGCCAGACAGTTATGGCCATGTACTGGGTGAATAATGCAGTGTAATAACAACGAAATATGCAATGAATTTGCTAAAGGGAGTTTAGTTTGTTTATTGCATACCTACGACCGTTTATGTAGTCTACAAGAGGAGATAAATGTTTTGGTAGCTTGGGTCTTAGTTAATGAAATAAGGTACCTACTTAATCCAAACTATTTTTAACCCGAATGTTGTTTTAACTTTTGTGCATCATCTAGGTAGGTACGTACTGCCAATCCGATATCCGAACATTAAAAACGTACATATCTACCTATAAATAGCTACTTGGTTATTAAATAGAAAAAAAAAATAATTGGGTTCGAGTCTTAAGTCATCTCAATAAAGTTCAAAATATGATGATAACAAAAATAATTTAGCTACCCTTATGTTAAAGGGTTAATAAACTATAGTGTTTTTCACGTCATGATGATCAATATGATATGACACTTCAAGGTTATCCATATTAGGCATACTACATGGGTAATTACTTATTTAGCATGTCGTTATTAGCAAAAATCGCTATGGTTTAGTTATTGGACATCTCTATAAATTTCAAACTCGAAACGTCGTCATGTTGATCATCTTAGGTGAAACGTGAAAAAGACTATAACTAACCTACTTTATTCAGATTGTCGAACGAAATGTGTTGTTGCTTTTTAGGCCAGTAGAATTTGATTTTAAATCGGAAATAATTCCTACAAAAGATTTTATTGTTTTAATGGCTTCATTTGTTGCCTCTTAATAATAATCCTGTGTTTAATAAGACCAAACTCCGTTGAAATCGAAAACCTAGGATAGTAGTTATATGCCCTCCAACCGTCATGAAGATCAGTTTTCGATACTGCAAGTCCTTTACACGGTATAACCGTAAAACAGCAAAAATGCCCCTTTCGGGGGCGCCCACCACGCACAACTTCATCGAAGTCGAAAACCTAGGATAGTAACAAATGAAGCCATTAAAACAAACATTTTGTAGGAATTATTTCCGATTTGATTAATTTTCATGTCTTATTCTACTGGCCTGTTTACTTTTAAAACAATTCATTCGTCGCGGTTTACTTTAAGAAACTGTTAATTGTGTTTCGTAAAGAAACCTCGCATAAAGAAAAAGTGTTGTAGGTAGTTTAATATTAAATATTTTGCTGTCAGTTGCAGCTTGTGAACTTGTCTAACTTCTTGTAGGTACCTTTCAAGAAACAGGGCTCTAGTTTGTTAACAAGTTCATCCTCGCGCAACGAGATAATAAATTACTTAGATTATTTTCCATTAAAGTTGAGAGAATTTAGCGTTCGCTTTGCTTGCGCTTTTAATAAGAATATTATCAATTTCTGAGAGAATCCGTCTTTACTCTATAACATGGCATTACAAAGAAAAAACTTTATTTCTGGCTAAGAGCCTTGGGTCGGGTTCTTATGCTTGTTAGCGCAGCGCAAGGGGTTTAGTTATTATTAGTAGCGCAGTGGTGTACTCTGTTAAGTATCACTATCTGAGCATAGGTACTGAGCAATGTGAATAAGCATGAGGAACTGAGAGACAGAGCACTCTTTTAACCTTGTAATATTGTAATATTCTTCCAACAAGATGCCGCTAAAACTTACATTCATCATTGTTGGTAGTGCGTTAACCCTCAAACAGACAATAGCATTAAGCATAAGATTATTTTGAACTTTATTGCTTAGTATTAAATTAAGGTTAAAAAACCACGAAAACTACGACCACAACCACTGGTGGCTGTTTCACACAAACCAAGGTGGTTGGTGACAACTGGCAAGGCAAGTCGCTCCAAGAGTGGTCAATGTGGACAATTTGTACCCAGTGACCGTCACCGGTGACATAATCTCTTATGTTTTGTACCTTACTGGCATGTGTATCGCCGAGTTACCACAAACAAACCCATTTTTTATACTAATTAATTGTTGAATAAGGTAATATTGTGACTATTTTTATACATCTCAGCCGACAGATGCCTTTTGATAGAGACCCGGGCGGGTGTAGGTGTGAGGAGCGGGCGGAACGTGGAGGTATACCAGGAACTAGATTTAATTCTAGGCTATTTTTCATAATATTCTACAAGGAACAAAAAGGATTATGTGGTTTGGAAATAATGATTAATGTTGTTTCAGGATAATTTTTACTCTTGTGTCTAAGGAGAGAAGGCAGATTTAAATATTTATGGCGATTTCATTGTTAGGCCCAGAACAGACGGTGAAACGCAACTGCAACTTTCTGATGATTCTTATGAATGAAACTGAAACTGAAAGTTTCAAACTGGTCGCGTATTGTGTGGTCTCTCAACGGACGCTATGGCAAAAACTTAGATGCAACTCAAAAGTAACTAGCAGTTGCAGTTTCGTTGCAGTTTCGTTTCACCGTCTGTTCTGGGCCTTAGACAACCATTAAAGGAGGGAGTTTTTATCAATACCGGGTTTTTAGATTTTGATTTTTGCCACGTGACGTTTAAAAATCGTTTAAGCGTAGAGGTGGCGACAAATAAGGCAAATTTCTAATTTTGGATCCGACATGTTAATGACGAATGAGGTAGGAGGAAACCTAGGTGTCTATCGCACGCAAGTTCAAATATTTCACTGTTTTTTGGATCGTGGTACAAAGGAAAGTATGATGGGAACCATAATATTAAGGGTTATGTGAATGGTTACTTTGTCTAGGCTTCAACAAAGTTGCCAGATTTAACCATATTTCTTTTCTGAATATGATAGAAATGCGGAAGAATGGACCAGTTTTTTTTTTACTTTTATCAAATTATGCCAAAGAGCGCCTAGTTATGGTGTGGTGGTTCACGGTGTTAGGATTAGGGAACACTACACTGCACTAGCCGGAATAGCAGAAAAATTGAATTAAACACAGACATCTTTAGTCACCATGGACTGTTGAACATATTTCATACCTAATTGGTCTTTATTATATGATGAAATTTTCCTTTCGTAGTCGTAGAACCGGGCGAGCGTAGGTGTTGGCCGGGAGATCTAGGCGGGCCGGGCGGAATGAAGGGCGAGCTCGGCGCGCCTGCGCCCGCCTATCGACCGGGCCACGTGGCCATCCGCCCACGCACCTCTCGCCCGGCCGCCACGTGCCCTTCGCTCTGTAATCCGCTTCACTACCCCCATTACACCCCGTTCCACCCGACGAGAAACATTCCCGCCATTTTGCTCCGCCCGTTTCATGGTTCAGCATCAAATTTCAAGCAGCCCATATAATAGTTATTCTTATTAAACCATTATCATAAAGCAAACACACCACGGCCGGCGGTGTGAATGCTTATGCACATTATGTAATCGTCCGAGCTAATAAATTGAAGCTGGACCGGACCACATTTCAACAACGTTTCCACCCTTCGGAACAGTTACTATAGTAAAGTTTAAATAAATACATTATACAGTGAACCCCTTTTGGGATGTAGTAACCGGCTTTTTCTGTATAGCTCAGTAAATACTTTCGGCGCGGCGGCGGCGGTGTGCAATTGAAAAGTGTGGAGTTGTAAGAGCACGCTCTATAGAGATCTCTGATCTGGCGCTAGATAAGGGCGTCAATTCGTATCTACCCCTGCCGACGATGAGGACAAAGAGTACCGACCTGTGGCTTCACCGCACGAAATTCGTACTACTGTGTACGCACTGAACGTAAATGTGGTAGCGCTAGCGGCGGGCGCGGCGCGGTGTCGCAGTTAAGCCATTCACGTCGAATTTTCAATTTTATTTATTACGTTAACTAAAATTTATGGTTTGGATTCCTGTAGTTAGGGGGTTACGACTGTTTTGTATTGTATGAGAGGAATCAACATTATCTAAGTACCTATTACTAATAATAAGTAAGTAGGTACTAGTTAAAAATCTATAAAATTCAGAGTGCACTATCAAAAAAATATTTAACATGCATTTAAGTTGAGTAAATTAAATTGTATGAACTGAAGTTGAACTTTCGTAGGGACGTAACTAGTAAAAGCAAAAGACATCATCTCATTATCAGACACGTATCTAAACTGTAGTACCTACCTAGCTAGTCAACGAACGATAGAAGATTGTCAACAAAAAATGAATAGTTACCTAATTTTATCAGGAAATTGTTATCAAGAAAACCAATATGGACATAAAACGCCCTAAGCAACCTGCAAGCTGAAATAACGAAGAAACATTTGCTGGTAGAACCTTTTAAAATTTTTAATTTAAAAACACTTACCTCCATCCTCCTGGCGGAGAGTCGGTGTTAGTCTCCTTCAGCTGAGTAGCACTCGCGCTTTGCAGGTTCGGAACATTGACTCTGTAACAATTCGTTAAAAATTTACTTTCAACAGCCAATCAAACCTAATAATGGTATTAATAAAGCATGACATTATGCCTTGATAATTTTGTTTTAATAGGTACCACAGAATAAATAATGATAATACATATTTCGAGTTAAAAAAATCATATTGTGATATTTTTTACTCGAAAAATCTCTATCAAATTCAAAAATCCTATTAATTAGAAAAGTGGAATGCTGCCTAATCTACTTACTTAAAGTTGAATCCAAAATAGAAGGCAAACGGTTCCATACATAGATGTTGGAACGTACCTACTTAAAGTCTTTTTCACCTAAGATGATCCGTATGACGTTTCGAGTTTGAAAGATTTAGAGATGTCACATAACTAAACCATAGCGATTCATCTATCGATTTTTTTCGAAGAGTTAGTAAAACCTACTTTTAGAGAAATAATTTGTGTAAGTGTTATTTAACAAAAAACATGTTTTTTTTAATTACAAATATTATTGTAACAATTTTTTATTGATAATATTCAAATTTCATGGTTCGTGTTCAAAAAAACGATTCCTAAAAAGTACTGGTTCTGTTTCTTTAAATTAAAAACTATTAATTTATTTTCAATGTGTTTATTAAAGTCAATAATCGAAAAATATAGTTGATTTTTGTGATGTTTTTAATGACTAAGTATTCACTGCAATCGATTAATGAACCGCGGAAATAATCGATTTTATTATACAAGAAATACCCCAGCACTAAATCTATTCCGTTTCACACATTGCGTACATTAAATAAAAAATATTTTTACATCGTATTCAATTAAAATATAATCAATAGACTCAGATTTTACTATATATTTCAAGACAAGTAGTTAATTTATTTTTATTATATTGCTAATAAAATACAAATATTTTTTCAAAAATATTCTGCAATTATGTAGTAGGTATGCGTAATATGGATAACCTTGAAGTGTCATACGGATCATCTTACGTGAAAAAGACTATAATGATCGTCGAGTCTTTCTTAATGATAGCAGAATACGACTGATAGATATGCAAATTGACAATTGATTTATTAAAGAATCCATAACTGCCGTGCCTAGTTTTTCCCAAGGGAACAACACCAGGTGAATCACTTTCAACAAAGAACTTGTACTATTTATTTATTAAAGGCTGCCCATAATAAGCTGGTAACTGCCTAACACCATGGTACTGACTAGCAATTTGTTAAATCTCACTCCTTGGTAAATCTAGGGTAGGCTAAGATTTGTTCTTTAGATTTAATAATATTGAACGGCCAGGCAAGTTGAATGGCAGTATGTAGGTAATATGTTTAGAAATAAAATTAACTCCGCCGGAACTTTTCCACCGCGGCGCGAAAGCGAGAGGTTCAGTGCCAGGGTAGTTTTCGTTTGTTCATACATTCGTAACATTATAAATACGAGATTAATTTTTAATAGTAGGTACTACCAATACTACCATTTGCATTGTGGCAGGCGCCTAACTAGCTAGTTGGGCGCGAGCGCTATTTAGTTTTCTGGCGCTGCTGGGTGGATGGAAGACATATTTTTTGAATTGTTGAAGCTTGAAATCGCCTAAAGCTACAAAATGGCTAAAATTTTATTCAGAACAGAACATCTTCATTCATCATCATTGCCACGTCACAGCCTAGGACTGAACTGGTTAACTTTAAATAATGGTTAGGATTAGGATCCGTAGTGAAAGCCCTAAGACGTTACACACGTCCACCCACCGGTCCCTTTTCACGGTGCAGTCCTGTTGTCCCCCCAACTTGGCCCCCCTAGGGGAGCCAACAGGATTTCGAAATCCTGTTGTCCCCCCTGGCTAGGGGAGACAACAGGACTAGATTTTTAATAATGATTTGAGGACTGTTGTCCCCCCTGGCAAAAATTATTTAAAAGCCATAAAATTTTAAAGCATNGTATACTTAAGAATTCCCACAGGAACGGGAATTAGCGGGAAAATCCTTCTGTATGAAAAATCTAAACCGCTTAAGTTAGACGCTTGAAATTTGTAGGTATTTAAAATTACAAAATATAACTTTTTAAGAAAATAAAACCGACTTCAAATGCGTGAACACAAAAAAAAACTAAAAATTAAAAATATTGAGTATAAAAAAGTTCATCCCCAATTTTCCACCATCGGGGGTGAAATATTTTCTTCAAATTCGCATGAAACCACCCTTTTGATAATACCTATTCAACAAAAATTGATTTATAATCGGCGGAGATATTGCGTATAAAAAAGTATGATTTTCATACTAGATTTGCTTTTTGCGCGCAAGTTTTGTAAGAAATTGCAACAAAATAGTGACATTGTATGTGTGAACAAACAATACCATCCATTAAAGGCTCCAGACATCAGTATGCAGCAGAATCAGCGCAATAAAAAAATTGCGCAATATTTTGTTGCAATTTCTTACAAAACTTGCGCGCAAAAAGCAAATCTAGTATGAAAATCATCAAACTTCTAATGCTCGTAACTCAGTTCAGACTGAGTTTAGAGGTATACATGCCATAGTAAGTTTGGTTTATTACACTATTTTGTAATCAAAAAACAAAGTTTGGTCGATGGCCGCGCGAAAAAAAAAAGACGCCACCTTCCATACAAAATCTGGCATTGCCATTTAAATGGGACCACCCTTGAGGTATTACCTATACGCCGAAAAAAGATTTGTTCAAATCGGTTCATAATTGGCGGAGTTATCGCGCAACAAACATAGAAAAAAAAAAAAAACATACGGGTCGAATTGAGAACCTCCTCCTTTTTTGAAGTCGGTTGAAAACTGCGCGCGCGTTGTCTCCCCACCGCCCCTTTAAGCCCTCCGTCGGCCTGGCGCGCCCATCGAATACATTTTTAGCCGTTTCGTTTTGGCTAATGTGCACATTAGCCGGCTAAAGATGGAATATCACGACGCAAACTAACATGTTATCGAACTTTAGCTGCTTCTCGAAGATAAACTTAAGTTTAGCCGGCTAATCTTAAGTTTATGTTCACAACTATCTTTAGCCGTAACATATACATGAGAATAGCATAATAGAGGTACTCAGCTTTTGCCTACGGCTTTGCCCGCTATATGTTTATATTTATTTATAAAAAAAGATAAAGTTACTTTCGCATTTATAATATTATTTAGTAGGGATAATTCATAACGATTTTGTCAAAAGCAAGTAAAGCAGATTTTGAAATAGTCTGAAATAGTACCGGTACCAAGAACTTATATTTTTTTCGTTATCCAAATCTTAATATTATTTGACATACGTTTAGGTATTCAGTTTGGCAATTTGCCATTCATTCAGGTACTCCAGTCCTTCTTAAATGTTATAAAATTTTATGGCTTTTAAATAATTTTTGCCAGGGGGGACAACAGTCCTCAAATCATTGATTAAAAATCTAGTCCTGTTGTCTCCCCTAGCCAGGGGGGACAACAGGATTTCGAAATCCTGTTGGCTCCCCTAGGGGGGCCAAGCAGGGGGGACAACAGGACTGCACCCTTTTCACAGTTGCGCGTGTAAAAACGTCATCTGTGTATTGTAAAGTGATAGTGACATTGTCTATGTAGTAATTTTAATAAGGCGATTGTATGGAATTTCGCCGAAGCGACCGGGGTTTGCAGACGTGCAATAATTTAACGTTACGCATTATGCATTAGATATATTTTAATGACATTGTATAACTGACATTTTACTACTTTAATTGGTATCTACTATCTACCCGTAAAACCTGAACAGGTTAGGATGGAAGGAAGAAGGTATCACACAATACTATTATAGTGGATTCTCTACATTTCTATAAAACATTTCGGTGTCACGTAGTAACTACCTATAGTGAACCTCATGATGCTGAGTTCGAATTAAAAATATAAGTATTTTGTAGATCTAGCTAGAACTTTTGTTTACCTGTGCTTAAAATGCATTTTATTTTAAGTAATGCCTAATAACGGATTCGAAAAGGGACAGAAACTTCCAGCTATTTCTATTGAACGAAACTATTGTCTCCGAGTCGACAATGGAGTGTTAACCCGACACCAGGTAAACAAGTGTGGCTCCTGTCTGGCGAAAGAATATTCGAGTTTGTTCATGTTACGGCAATACGGTCTATGGTTTAGTTAACTTCATCCCTCTAAGAACTATGAGCATAGTTATTTAATTTTTAGCGTTAAGAGTCGCATCTCCAACTTTAACTTACTTAACTTAAATAACTATGTAAAGAGCTGTTTCATCTTAACTGAAAGTTAAATATTTGCAACAATATTTCTGTTAGATGTATGAAGGATAGTAGGTATACCCAACATTGATGAAACAAACGCTGGCCGTAACAGTGTATTACATTTGAAAATTTAGACGGGACGCTCAGTTGGAAGAGCAGTCGCTCGGCAAGCGGAAGGTCGTGGGTTCAATTCCCGTCTTAGGCAGTTCGATTTTTTCAGGTTATTAACTATGAACATGATCGTAATACCAATAATTGTGCACCAAACTGTAAGACTAGGCGCAGACCACCGATTTTTAGTTGGCCGATAGTTGGGCCCGATTTTAATTTGTATGAAGAATCGGCCAAATCAAATCGGTGTAATGTGCGCACTTCCGTACATGCCCATACATGATCAACTGCCCGACTAAACTATCGGTAGACGAAAAATCGATGGTCTGCGCCTAGGCTTATTCCTCAGGTAGGCTACTTAAATTGTATGGAATTAAATTTAAAAAACTTACATCTTTTTATTAGCTACGGAGGGCTCCACAATTAACGGCAAACCGCAGTAAGAGTAACCTGAAAAATAATAATTAAGTCTTTCTTTATTTATTTAAAATTACATACATATTGTGGTTAAAAGTTCTAAAATCTGTCACTTAAGTATATAATAAACGAATAAAAACATTCATCGAAATTCTACTGTGTTCTGCAGTTTAGTTATTAGAGATTAGGTAGGCCTTTACAGATGCAAGAACCAAAGATTATGCACGTCATTCAAGATTTAATATCTAGGTAGGTAGGTACCTACCTATCTACCTACAGTTTGTGTATCGCCTAACAATGCTACCATTATAAGTTGTTGAATTTGTTAATTCACTTACCATGAAGCTTATCAATGGCTCGATCCGCAGCCGATTGGTCAGGGAAATCTACGAAAGCATAGCCACCTCTTTTCACTGAAATATCAGCCACAGTAAGGTTTTGCTCCGCAAACAGTTGTCTTACAGCAGCTTCGTCTGCTTCTATGGGCAAATTGCCGATGTACAATTTATTCATAGCAGATACCGTTTTCAGCTGCTCACTCATATTGAGATTTTTCGAGAAAACCACACAAATTCCGATAAGTCGCTTTGCGACGAAAGTCAAGTTCGGCAAGTCAGTCGAATTTCTTTTGTCTACTGATGATGGTTGACGTCAGTCAAATTTCGAACTCCATAATTAGATAGACTGTCTCGGTGGCCATGATTCATAAATAATACCCAAAAAGGTAACTATGTTTTTCCTGTCACACACAGATCAGAAAAAAGTTCAGTCCAAAAGTGTTTGGTTTGATTTGATAATGACTATTCTTAAGCTAACTGATTTAATTTAACCGTTATAGTTTTCCTTGAAAGTTCATGAAAAGTAGTATTATTACGATTTTTTCCAGATTTTTCAAGCCAACAGTTTAGTTTTTACGTACTTACGCCTAATAATAGGGGGACGCCCTACTCAAACAAAAATTGGCACTTTAAACTTTAATAATTTGCAAACGCATTAATAAATGGAAAAATAGTCTAAGAAACCCCTAAGCCATTTTAAAATACCTATTCAACGATATTCCACTCGATGGGGTAGAAGTTGAAAAAAAAATTATCCCCACTTTACGAGCTACCCTAAAAAATTTTTTTTTCAATATTTTATTTTACCGTTTTGTCGGTGTAATTATACATACCTCCACAAAATTACAGCTCTCTAGTGCCAATGGTTTCCAAACAAAACCTCGGACAAACAGACAGACGGACAGACATATCGAAACTATAAGGGTTCCTTGTCAGGACTACGGAACCCTAAGAAAACATCCTTTATTTTTGAAAAGAAAGAGAGCTGCATTCTAAATTAAGGAATGTTTCCTTTGAGTAAAATTTTATATATGTTACAGGAAATGTATGAAATCCGTCATTGTATACAATTCCTAGGATTTGTGTATAAGTCCTAAAATCACCCGGAAATGTGTAATGTAAATTATATTAGACACATTTCCTAGGAAATTTACACATTTCCTAAACAGCAATCGGAAATGTAATTAAGATTTCTTTTTTTTTCTCCGAAACTTAAATGGCGCTCCCGCGCCGCGGCCGCTGTGTATGTGACAAGGTCGCAAGTCTAACCTAACCTAACCGAGACTTTGTTATCCAGCTACAGGAGTACTAAAACCTTCATGTCAATAATAGTTTAATAAAAGATATGTTAAAATTAGGGTTTTCCAATACTTCAGCGTAATATGCGTGATGCCGAAAGAAACGTATGCCAATAGGCAAATATTTTTTTCAGTCAAAGTATAATAGTGCAAAAACAACTTTCAGGCTAAACAATAATAGTTGTGAGTTAAAAGTACCTATCGGTCAATGTGGTTTGTCTAAATAAAATTTTAGGCGTACTGAGGGGCACCAAATCACATGACCGCGCTTGTGCCGCTTAGTTTTATACATTTCCTAATACAATATTGGAATTCTATAAAATTCCTAGGAAAAGTATACATGTCCTAGGATATGTGCGTATTAAAAAATCTCTGAAGCAATATTTTATACATTTCCTAAATAGCTTCGGAATTGTATACATTTCCTAGGAATAGTATACAATTCCTAGAATTCATACATTTCCTGTAACATATACAGTATTAAGAGTACTTTCCCTCCAGGTGGCATTACAAAATTCCACCCTGTATAGCAGGGGTGGCCAACTTGATTAGACTTAAGATCTACTGTTTACTAACGAAACCCTGGGCAATCTATCACTTACATACTTCTTGAAATCTTAAATGAAACAGCATAGTGTAGTTACACAATCATTGTAGTGTTTTTTGCCTTGCCACGATCGACTGGAATAATATTCGCGATCGACCGGTTGGCCACCCCTGTTGTATAGGGTTATAAATAATAATACTGTAAAGTTTCATCAAAATCCGTTCAGTAAGTAGTTTTTGCGTGAACGAGTAGCAACAAACAACAGTTTCACAACTGTTGTTTGTTGCAACAAATCGAACGCACTGTGTTGAATAGAGCTCTGTGATTGGTTCGTGTGTGACCCTGTGCATCCACGCGCCCTGTGAGACCTCATAGTAATGTTTGTGAATACGGGCATTAGTGTTCATCCCGTAGCGTTACGTAAGTACGGGTCAGTAAAAAAAAGATAAGATTAAATACATCAATACTTTATTATCTACGTTCATTCGAAAATACCAGATTTCTACATTATAAAAATAGGTGTATCAAGTCTATTGGGAACAAAGTAATATATTTATACAAAATATTACATCAGTAAACTCGTATTTTAATTAATAAGTACATTAAACATGTACATAATATTTTACTGGACAGTTCGTTGTGGTCACCACGACTTTTTACCAGACTATGGCGTCTCTAAATGTTACGTGGAAAGTAATATTTTATGTGCCTCCGTAGCGCCTAAAATTCATCGGATTTTGATGAATGAAATGTCGTTTGATTCGATAATAATGGCCTGGGTAACATATTATGTACATAGGCTACATTATGTTAAATACGTGACTGTCAAAAATATTATCTAAATAAAATACGAACTGTCATACATAACATATGTATTGGGTTACCATTTTTTGGATTTGTTCAAATTGAAACATCATAAGATTAAGATGAAAATAACTATAACGCAATTTGTATAAATTATGCTAAACGCATATTTCAGTTTGTGACCAATTTGTCCGGGTTTTTGATAAAACTGTTCAAGATGGTAACCACAATACATAAGTAAGGGATACCACTAAGTCGACAATTGCATAAATTCGTTATTTAGGCTTACCAGTACCAGTATAAAAAACAATAAATCTTAACAACAAAGTTAACTTAATTAATAATGTACTCTGAATAATTTAAAAGTATTTGGAAGATCATTATGGTATACATAAATCATTACAATAATAAGAAACAACGTATTGATGTAGTTTTCCCTAGGCAAGGCCGGCAGGCTCAAATAAAGTAACGCCTGATTTCTCCTGTGAGTCTATTAGGCTAGTTTCATAAAAAATAACTTTTAGTCCGCCAATTATTTTATCAAAAAATATTGAACACATGCTATATTTTTATTTGTCAAACAAACAAGTAATTTTGAAGTTATGGTGCGTTGAAGTTCCCCGTGACGTCAGAAAGTGCTACACTTTTAAGCACTTCTTGACGTTATGGGCCTCTTCATACGAACTTTGGCGCGCTTTATCTCTTTCTTTCGTTAGTTTGAAAAATACGTGTCGAGTATTTTTTGTTCAGTAAAGTGACGGACTAATTCAAACTCTTGCTCTTTTTACCCAGGAAACAACTAAGTACTAGGCCTGGATCAAGCAAAAGGAAATTTTTAAGGGGTTTTGTCTGGCATTATCTGAAATATGTATGGTTATATGGTGGGTATGTGATTATAGTATATTGGTTTGAATATTGAGATTTTACTAGTTACAGTTTATTTAAAAAGTGTTCTTAATACATTATTAACATTATGTATGTAATAAGTTTCACAAAAATGGAATGTTCTACTGGGTGACACTTATAGTGACACATAAATACTGGCAATTTATATACATTATTAGGCGTAAGTACAAACCATTATCTGTATTTTTAAATAATATAATATCCGAATATTCAATAAATAACAATATTTTATAAAAATGCAGTTATTGTACTTTCCCATAAAATCCTACTTGAAAGTAGATATTCTAATTTATTAACAACTAGCGACTTCACCCGGCTTTTAACGGGTTTAAACGAATAAACAACAAACACAACTTGTTTATAATTAAAATAATATTAACACATAAGTACAATCAAATGTAATGGCATATAGGAATACCTTATTAAAATTAGGAAACGCATTGTTTAAATATATACGTTTACTTGTATTTTTGTACTAGGTATACATATCTATATGTAAACCACAATATTGGCGATATACGAGGCATATAAAAATATATCATTTAGCCATAGTACATTTTGTATCTTTTAAACGATGTCGTTCAATTGGTGCACGTAAAAATGATTTGCCAATAATAAATAATATAACATAACATTTACAAAATTGTTAAAAAATATAACACAATAATTTCTACATAAAAAAGTAGATCAACAAAAGATTCAAATTAAATCAGTGAATTAAATAGTGCACTAACAAAGTCAGAATAAAATTCAATCCACAAAATACACAGTACACAGAGATTGTCAAGGTATTGTCAATGAATGCGTTGGTATTCAACATTCGGTAATTAATTATAATAATACCTCACATTAAAGACCTAAAATATTATTAGTAGAACCTTTATTCAAATTACTATGATGCCAAGAAAAAGGAAACAGGTTCAGAAAATAATAGTGTTAATACAAGTACAATACAGGCTGAAGAAATCTTTTATAGTTCCAAAATACTGAACTGTCCAGGTCCTGTCGATGACATTGACAGTGGGGCGCCACCGTCAATACCGGATCGCTGGTTCAGATTTTTGCCATATTGGAAACCATATAGTTGAACGATGGTAGCGCCCCCCTGTCATTGAGTTTGGTGGGACAGTTCAGCGTGGGTCATCTATAACAAGCATTCTGGTTTGTCATTAAATAATTATTGTTATTATAGTTAAGTATAATAATATAAGTTTAACATACACAGAGATTCAGTTTAAAAACACGAATTGGTTATTATGTACCTACTATCAATATAACTTCATTCATAACATAATTGCAAAAATACATGTATAGACGGTCGATTTTTAGAAGTAAGGGTAATATGTAGCTTCATAGAAGCCTATTTTCTAATTTTAGAGATATACATATTTAATATTTAAATAAAAAAAGTACGGTATCTACACTCGCGAGCAAAAGTATGGAATCACTTACATGAAGTTGTTTCCACGCGATCTTGTGTACTAACGAATTTGTTAGGAACAAAAAAAGTGGCACCATTTTAAAGATTAAACTTTTATCTTTAAATTGATACCAAATTCATATAAATCACACCAGTATTTAAAAAGATATCCCGGCTGATGTGAAGAAGTAACGAAAAAGACATGTATGAACTGTTTGATACGTCGCGAGTTGCGGCCTATTTACCCCCTATAAAAGCACGCGTTTTCGGATTTTGCTTTCACACGTTGATTCATACACATCTCCGCTTCTTTTGACACTTTACCTGGGTTTCTACACCTTCAGAAGCAGCACAAATCGTTGCACTATTGCAAGAAGGGCTCAGCCAGCGGGCTGTCGCACGTCAGCGCCACATAAGCCAGTCCTGGGTTTCGAAAGTTTTACGACGCTTTCGGGAGACTGGTGGCTTTATCCCGAGACCAAGTTCTGAACAGCGCCGGCGCACATCGCAGAGGGAAGACCGTTTTTTCATGTCAACCTCTCTATGAAATCGTCATTTGACTGGAATCGACGTCCAGTAAGAGCTCAGAAATGTTCGTAGGATAGCTGTTAGCGAGTAGACAGTTTGTCTAAGACATAAGCAATAGAATTTAACTCCAAAAAGGCCTGCCACAGGCTCGAAACTGACGGCAGGTCACCGATAAGCACGCTTTCAATTTGCTCGTACACATCTCGATGTTAAGTCGAGCAAGCCACCCCCATAAGCCACTGTTTCAGCGAACCAGCACTGCACAAATCGCTCCTCAGGCCGCCTATAAACCCGACCTCTTCGACTGCTGCCCTGCAAACACAGTTTGCATTCATCGGAGAACAGAACTCGCCTCCATTACTCGCCTTCCCATCGAGATGTGTACGAGCAAATTGAAAGGGTGCTTATCGGTGACCTGCCGTCAGTTTCGAGCCTGTGGCAGGCCTTTTTGGAGTCAAATTCTATTGCTTATATCTTAGACGAACTGTCTACTCGCTAACAGCTATCTTACGAACATTTCTGAGCTCTTGATGGACATCGATTCCAGTCAAATGACGATTTCATAGAGAGGTTGACAGGAAAAAACGGTCTTCCCTCTGCGATGTGCGCCGGCGCTGTTCAGAACTTGGTCTCGGGATAAAGCCACCAGTCTCCCGAAAGCGTCTTAAAACTTTCGAAACCCAGGACTGGCTTATGTGGCGCTGACGTGCGACAGCCCGCTGGCTGAGCCCTTCTTGCAATAGTGCAACGATTTGTGCTGCTTCTGAAGGTGTAGAATCCCAGGTAAGGTGTCAAAAGAAGCGGAGATGTGTATGAATCAACGTGTGAAAGCAAAAATCTGAAAACGCGTGCTTTTATAGGGGGTAAATAGGCCGCAACTCGCGACGTATCAAACAGTTCATACATGTCTTTTTCGTTACTTCTTCACATCAGCCGGGATATCTTTTTAAATACTGGTGTGATTTAAATGAAATTGGTATCAATTTAAAGATAAAAGTTTAATCTTTAAAATGGTGCCACTTTTTTGTTACTAACAAATTCGTTAGTACACAAGTTCGCGTGGAAACAACTTCATGTAAGTGATTCCATAGTTTTGCTCGCGAGTGTAGAAACTGAGCAAATTAACCGCCTTTAAGAATTAATCCGAATTGACGTATTTCTTATGGTTAACATAATAATTATGTACCTATGTATTTTTAGTATTGTTAATATGTAATTCCATATTCAAATATGTTTTAGTTTAGAATATCAGAAATCCTTGGTTTATTATACAGGGTGGAAACGATAAGTGATCTCACTCGATTATTTCTAAACTATACAAGATATTAAAAAACTAGTTACTGATCCTGAAAGTGCTTCATGAGCTCTATCAAACGGTACCAATAATAGGTTAAAGAACAAACTGGATCTATCCGAAAATTCAATGTTTCCGGCTTCCATACATTTGGTACAGCCTCATAATCTTAAAAACTACAAAAGATATCGTAAAACTGGTTACTGATCCTAAAAGTGCTTCACGAGCTCTATCCAATGGTATCAATATTAAGTTACAGAATAAACAGGATCTATCTAAAAATTTAATGTTTCCATCTTCCAGTTTTTCGATATCTTGTATAGTTTAGAAATAATCGGGTGAGATCACTTATCGTTTCCACCCTGTATATTTTTTTGATAATCATAAAGGATATGCTAATGAGACAGTGATCAGGTATATTTTTAACGATGTAGGTACGTAATATTATTTTCAGTGCACTTAATATATTAGAAACTTTTCAAATCCTGTATACGTAGCAATCCAAGCTAGTGTGAATCTTTTTGTGTGCAGAGACTGTCACACGTGACGTCACATTAATCAAATTTCTTTCGTATCGAATCAAAATTCTTTCGTAAAATGATTGTAATTTAATTGAAACTTGCAGTCAGTGCTGGTTTACACAAGTCATGGACAGCTTTTCAGATTCAGGACGTTAATATTTTCTAAGAAACTTATTTAAATATAATTTGGCATCTAAAGTAGGTAATTCGTTCGAGCCAAACATCATTGAAATGTTATAACTAAAATTAAAATTCGAGATATATTGTACGTCAGTCGTTAATCTGTTTCACTATTTTGTACAATGTAATTTTATTTCTATAATGACGTATCTATATATTTTAGAATATTTGTTTACTTACATAAAGTAAAACATTGTGTACGTTCAAGAAATTCACGCAAAGGCAGTTGTTATGAAAGCGTTGTTTGGGTATACATATTATAGAAAATATAGTTCAAACTTCAAATGGATACTATTATAATGCCTATTTAATATAAAGGGTTATATAAAAAGTATAAAAGTAGGGCACCATTTATAATGGCAGCTACGAGAAGACGTAAGCAATATGATTGATTCAATGATGTTAATTTGATTTGGTATAAGCGGGAAATATTCGAATGGTTGTTAGGGCGTCTTCAATATGCCGCAAAGTGCCGCGCTGCGGCCACGCATCAGTTCATCGATCGACTAGTGACTGCGCTCAGGCTCACGTGATTTTTTGCCGAAAATCCTTTTTCGTTTTAATAGTAATACTAATATATACTGCAACTAAATGTATAACACTACTATTCTCAAACCTAGCGACAGCAGTGCGGCTACAGTGCTGCACCCTGCGGCAAATTTGAAGGCGCCCTTAATCGCAGGGTTGTCAGTTTACACGCTGGTGGTGGCTTTGCTGGAGGCCGAGTTATCGGGGGAGCTGCTCTTGACCAGCTGCATCTTGGAATGCATGCGGAAGTGTAACCTCGACTCCAGGGAATATCCCGAATATTTTTTCCTGAAATGGAAACAATACGTTTTTGAGGGTATTGAAATTACGCCGGAGACAATTTGCCAACATTTTTGTCAATGGGGGCTATCGTTTTAGCGTTCACCAGTTGGCGCCACTGTAGAGTAAGGTCCTGTCACTTGCTAGTAGCGAAGTCAGTGGCGCCAACTGGTGAGCACGAAAGTGGTAGGAGGACTATCGCATTTGTACTCATCAAGATGGCGCCACTGTAGAGTAAGGTCCTGTCAATCGCCAGGGGTGCCAACTGTTGAGTATAAAAACGATAGCCCTCATTGTATAACGGTAATTTATTGCTAATGGATAATGCTGTAGGGTGACACCTGTCATTTAAATCACGCCAATCAAGTTCCATAATTATTATTTGTCGTGCTTCATTTAGCTAGGAGTGACGCATCTGTAGTTGTCTTATCATTGATCTTTTTTATCTTATTACCAGTTTAGGGATTTAAAACGAGTGATACGTCTAAAATAATAATGTCTTTTGATGCTTCTAAAGACGTTTAACATTCATAAATCATTCTAAGTACTTATGAAATACGGTATTTTATTTATCGTTAATACCTTCTAGGCATTGAAAATCGTAAATTGCTATATAAAGTTGTCCATTATCTAATCATGTCAAATTGCCATATTGGAGAGTACGGATTACAAAATAATGATGATGAACTTTTTCCAGAAGGTTGGTAGCGGCTGCTAGCGACGGTAAAAGAAGTGGGAGATCATTATTTGAGACTTTGAGAAAGGCGTCCTGCAGTAGACTATGGGTAATGGGCTGAAATTATGATGAGATTATCCTTACCTGGCATCCTGAAGCATTTGTATGGCGCGGTCTTTGTTGCCAAGGTGATAATGGCACATGGCCATTTCAGCGACCGAGTACGGAAGCAAGAAAGTGTCCTCTTTTATGTCATTCTTCAATCTGAAAAAAAAAAAGAAAAATGAAAAAATTATAATGATTTGTCATATTTTACAATCAATATGTATTTTTAATTTTTATTTAAAGAACAACGAGATATTTTTAGAAATAATTCTAGTAAGTGAAAGGGTAATGTAAAATGTAAATGAAAGACGACCTTGCAAAAGTATGGAATCACACTATTTGTTTCGAGCGATCGTAAGAACTAAATTACTACTAAATGTAGAAGATAAGTATCCTTATTCACGTAACAAAACTTCAACGACAACAAAACACTGAGTTGTAATCGTATTATCAAAATGACCCTTGTGAATACGGATTTAGAACTGTTTTTCAATGGGACGACGTAACAAAACTTCAACGACAACAAAACACTGAAGTTGCGATCTTATCGAGTAATCGTTTTATCAAAATGACCCTTGTGAATACGGATTTAGAACTGTTTTTCAATGGGACGACTTCTGAACGTCAGCGAGATCTTGCCTGTCAGAATACGTGAATTAGGCCACAGCACAGGTCAGTGCCTGGAGATGGATGGATATGTAGTTTCGGTTATGGATACGGTTACGGATATAGAAATAATATTATATCGGTTACGGATATTTTTTTATTTCGGATATCCGAAAGTTTCGGTTACGGTTACGGATATAAATAACATCCCTGGCCTGGAGTACTCACTGGAACACCGAGTCGAGGGTTTCGAGCGCCAGCCGCGGCAGCCCCATGGCGGCGAGGCAGCAGCCGTGCAGGTAGCGGAGGAGCGCGCGGTTGTCCGCGTCGTAGCCAGCCATCCACTCTTGCGGGCCTGACTCCAGCCGGTCGCGAGTCGACTCGATCAGCTGTCAATGTGCATGAGGGTCAATCAATGATATTATAGTATAAAAACAAAAGCAGATATGTTATAAGCGCTCGCGCTGTGAATACTCAAATACGTCCCAATTGGGACGTCTTGTGTTTAGTCTTCGTGTGGCCTGCGTCGTGCGCAATCGCGTGCGTACCACATAGTACGAGAGCCCACGACCAAAACCATGTCTCATAGCAATACGGCAAAAACCCTATAAAATCGTTAGATTGTATGATTATGAACCCGACTAGGTGTGTAGTAACGGTCGAAAGTGTAGCAACTGCGTGGGAGGCCATTTCTGCTGTGTCAAAAAAAAAAGACAGTCGGTATTATAGCAATACGTCTGATAGTGAAAATGTACATAGATTTTATAATTGTATTACGAAAAAGTTTGTTTTCAGACATTTTTCGCGTAGCATATAGCCTGAGCGCATTTTTGAAAATGTCAACAAATTTAGCCGACCTGTATCATAGCAATACGGATAAATTTTTTTTTCAACTTTTCGTATTGCTGCCATGATTACCAAAAACCTGTTTTCAGACACTTTAAGTGTATCAAAAAGTTGTATGATAGAGAAGGTGCTACACTTAATTTGTCTGATATAAATTTTTTGCACATGTGGACAACTTATTTTATCATGTCCAACAATTTTCAGACATATTGCTATGATACCGATCGGTAAAATTTGTTAACATTTTCAAAACGGTCTCAAAATTTAATGCGTTCACATTTCCGTCTGAAAATTGTTTTGTTCGCATCAAATAACCAAAATTTACTAATAAAAAAGATTTTCAGACGTATTGCTATGAGACATTTTTTTTGTCTCATTTTTAATTTTTTTAAGTGATTTTACGGGTTTGCGCTACACCACTAACGTCTGAAAATAATGTTTCCGGTATCTCAGAACTATCATTCAACTANGTCCTAGATTTCGACTTTAGCAAACAGTTCCTCTATATGGCTTTCATGTATAGTTATTAGGCATTCTGAATCAAAAGAGTAACAGCATGCAATTATACAAATTATGAACCTACTAACACACAAAAAAAAACGTCTAAAAACATCGTGGAAATGGCCCATCAGAAAAATTCAGTAAGCTAGGAGAGTTGTGACAGCCTGTCACAACTCTCCTAGGTGTTTAAAATGACGACTTGGTTTGAATAATAATTTTTATTTTCTAAACACGATGCGCACACAAAAGATCAGTGCTACATTTTGAGACCTGAATAACCATGCAACTTGTGAAAAAATAACACAACAGTGCACATATACTACAACATGATATAAATTGAAATACAATTTTGAAGATAAACTTACTTTTCGCATTTTTTTGTACACAGACGTCATATTCACGTAACCGTGCCTCTTGCGCCGCCCGCAGGTACTTAGTCAAGAAGAGCGTCTTAAATGCGACAAACCAGCGTTTTTACCAGCTTCCTAACTATATTAAGTAAGGAGAAATCGTCCTTGTCACAACTCACCTCTGTCACAACTCTCCTAGGTCTCCCCTACACGTTAATTTAGGAGTCTGCTCGCTAGGGTTGCCAGGTGTCCGGCTTTTTATGTGGTTGCCGCGCCAGGCGAAAGTCGAGCTACAGAATATATCAAGCGCACGCATCAGGATGTTGGGTAACCGTGAAGCACAGAGTCCGGCTTTTATGTTTTAGGACCTGGCAACCCTACCTCGGTCAGCGTCAGTCATCGTCAGCTGGCGAAGTTACCTGAGCAGCTCGTTGCACTGCTGCCTCTCGGCCGCGGTCAGCTTGTCGCCCAGCTGCAGCAGCATGGCGGCGCGCGTGTAGGAGTAGACGGTGCGCGACCAGGAGAGGGATAGAGACATGCGATTTTTCGTTTTACGAAGGTAATACGATAGAGAATAATACAAAGTAATAAAAACTACCGGTTATAGGGGCATTTTTTGGAGAAATTTATCAAATAACCAAAAAAACACGAATTTTTAAGCGGATATTTTTCAAAAAGTATATTTTTTTTATTATTTGTTGGCTTTTTTGTGTATTTTATGTATTTTTTTAGTATTGCCTGTTATTTAGCATTATTACTGTTTTTATTTTATCAAGATATACCGCTTAGTTTAAAAGTTATTATGTTTTCTTTAGAATAAGTAATTGGAACAAAAAAAATTCTATAAAAAATTAATTCATATGTACACTTTAACGTGACTCACACTGTATATGCAAACAATCAAGACGCCATGCGCCATGTTCAAGTTAAGAAAGAGAAAGCGATCTTGTTTTGACGTTAGAGCGATAAGGATGCGTGCGCTGCGGACATAGATTAGTTAGTGCAGAATCGTTAAAACTATAGCTATCTCTTTCATTTGCGTGCTATTTCGTATCTTTTGTTTCACTTATCAGTTACATTTGTCAATGTGTGCAATTTGGAATAGCTCGGCACGGATTTAAATCGTAATTTCTATGAACGTAACATATCTATAGTTCTTTAATATCATTGGGGTCAATGAAACAAAACGGTGCAATGTCTCTCAAGAAGCAGGCCTAGTCTGTAAACTGCCTCGGTATGATCTCGGTCAAGAAGACGCGCAATCCGCATTCCGCAATCCTCATCGTGTGTTGGTTCCCGCTGAAAACCAGCTTCTCGAAATGGCACTTGTTATGTCGCGAATATTGCTCAGCGGACGCCTCTTCAGCATAGCTTCTAGGTTAATGTTATGTACCTACTGTATTCTTATACTGAATAAAGTATTCTTATTCTTAAGTCCGCGCAACGTCTCAATAATGAGCCACATCATCGAATTCATCAAGGGAAAAGGGGGTAATCATTATTTTGAATGTTCTGATAACTTGAAATATACATTTTATCACATGTGCAAAAGTAAGCCATAACCTGACCTAAAAAAAGTTTACTTTGAGAATGCAAGCCATAACATAAGCGACTGTGCACACTGGGCGACAAGAAGTCGCGGAGACGCGACGGCGCGACGACAGCGAATGTATGAAATGTCTCAAATGTCGGGCGCGCGCGTCTCGTCTGTCGCCCAGTGTGCGCTGTCGCTAACTCAAAAAAACAAATGTCTACCTTGAGAATGCTCTGCGCGCCGCGGTTGTTCTTGGCCAGAATATGGAACATGTTCCAGAGACAGAGCAGCTCGACGCCGGGCAGGATGAGCTGCCCGCCCTGCGCCACGTAGCGCGCGCACCGCTTGATCATGAATTTCTCCATCGGCAGCGACTTGCCGGCGATGCGCTGCTTGTAGAACGACGCGTTCCTGGAAGTTACGTGTGAGGTTGGAACAAAAGAACACAAGTTGACAGCGGATTTACACATTGTGCTTGTACGCTAACAATTTCGCGTTGTACAGTCAAATAGTTCGTGACTCCCAAAGTAGCCAAAAAGTTCGTAACACGTCTTTGATATAATTAGGCTGTTAGATGTGGCGCAACTCCGCCACATCTAACTTCATCCACGAAGACGCGCCCCACCAATGTTTGGTCGGGGGAAGCGTTGTTGTAGCGTGCGTGCGTATCCATAAGTGCACTCATGGATAATTTAGCGTGTACCGATAAATGACACTCACACATTAGCGGAAGAATATGGTGGGGCGAGTCTTTGTGGATGGCACGATCCATAAACGTTTTTTGTATGGAGTTTGACAGATTTTGACGTTTGTCAAAGTTAAAGTAAGATGTTGCAACTCAGCCGTCTCCCCACTCCGATCGAAAAAATTACATTGAATCCCCTTTTCTCCAACAGCTTTGAATCTCTTCTTTACCATCCCCCGATTATTTTAAACTTTGGTATAACTAAAGATTCATGTTCTGCTGGCCAAGAATTTATCAATATTGTCTACGAACACTGGCAAGGCTGGCTCAAGATATATACTGATGCTTCTAAGCTGGACGAAGGTGGATGCACAGGTGCTGCAGTATGGATTCCAGCATACAAAATAACTTTAAGTGTCCTCCTGTTACATCAGTGTTCACCGGAGAATCTGTTGCTATACTTGAAGCTATTCGCTATATTATGTCTCATCAACTCAATAACACTCTGATTTTCACCGATTCTTTAAGCTGTCTTCAATCCATTTTAGCCAATCCCTTCAAATCCAACTCCAAATTTCTAATAATTTTATAATTTTCAAAATTCGAGAAGCCCTATATCAGTGTAATCAGCTGAATTTAAAAGTCGTTTTGGCCTGGATCCCAAGTCATCGAGGAATTCCTGGTAATGAAACAGTAGACTCATCCGCCAAAATTATGTATGTATTTACAAAAAAAAAAAAGTATTTAAGTATGTTTATATCCGTTCTCTAGTACCCATAGTACAAGCTTTGCTTAGTTTGGGACTAGAAGCGCAGTGTAAAATGTCAAAGAAAAAAAAAAAATTGCTATAACCACTGGCAGGTTGGAACATTACAAGTTATATGCGCATGACGCTTCCTCCCTGCCACGCAGTCACCTTTACAAATCATGGAACACTCATTGGGAAAAGTCTAAACGATTGGCTGGTAGATATTATGCAGACATCCAACAGAGCATTCCCACAAGACCCTGGTTCTTTAAATATCACCACTTATCTAAAAGGACTGTTTCCATTATCTGTCGCTTGCGTCTTGGTCATGCTTGTACACCGGTTCACCTTGCAATAATGCGGATTAAAGATAATTCCCTATGTGAGTGCGGCTTAGATGAGGGATCAACCAACCATATATTTTTCAATTGTCCCAAAATTGGCGCCTCCTTGTTTGATTTTCTTCCCAAAAAATTCCCACTCCCTACTAACATTAAGTGTGTACTTAATTGTAATAACCCTTCCACTTTAAAATCCCTTGTTAAATTCATTAACATAAACAAAATTAATTTGTAGGTAGATGATACTGTTTGGCAATCATTTTTAAATTATCCCTTTGAATGTCAATTTTTTTTTCTTTCCCTAATTTGTCTCCTGCAACAAAAACATCCCTTTTTTGTCTCCCATAATTGTTTGTTATTTTTATATTTTATTTTCACGTATTGTGTTGTCTTATTTGTGATGTCTGTTTGTTTTAGGTATATAAGTTTGTTTAGATTGCAGCTACAAAATTATTTATTTTCATAACATCCTCCGTGTAAAAGCTGCGCACGTGACATTGGCGGAATAGTGTGCCCTCAGTGGCGAAAAAACACAAGTTCATCGCCATAAACCAAAGAAGAAGAAGAAGAATAAGTGTTGTCAACTTTTTGGTCACTTTGAGTGCGACGAACTATTTGACGCTGACTGTACAACGCGACTGTACATAGTGACGTAATGGGAGTGAGAGCTTCTAAGCGGCGGATTTGCACATTTGTGATGACGCGTTCCTAGAATATACATGTGACATGGGGGCAAGGGAACAGAAGCATAGTCGGCCCATGGTGTTTGAAACTATTGACCAGAGTTTAGGGTGTAGGGTGACCATGCCATCGAAGATCTTTTAAACATGAAGTTAGACCACATTTTGTCGTCAGTACAGGCTGTTATATCTCCTCCGATCGTCGATACTTATAATAATAATAATAAAAAACGTTTATTGCTTTTTATACATAAAAGGAATTACAAGAATCCTAGACTAGTTCGTCTGACGTATTTAATTTGTTCATATTTGGGAGGAATCACAAAACAACGGATTGTAAGTGCTTCCAGGTTTCTTTAAACATTAATCTTTAATTTTGTTTATCACATAGATACATAGACCCAAATAATAATGTGGACCTGTTAGATAATAAATTCCCAACACAAAGTTATTTTTACGCGTTATTATTACACGTACTCAAGTAGTAGTGGGTTGGAAGTTGGAGCCTCTTTAACACAGATTGAAGTTAACCTAAAGTGACCTTTCTTGATTGTAAGGAATGATAACTCATGTTGTAATAGAAACTATACATAATTTACTAATTTATTTGACACATTTACTATCAGATTCTGACTTGACATTTCAACAGGAGATCAACATGTTTTTGTGTGTTATAAAAAACATTTGTTTGTTTTGTCACCAAGTAACGTTTAGTGAAAATACCTATATTTTTTATCAACATTATTTTGAAATTATATTTTGTTTACTACTGCGAGCTGCATACGCATCACGACCCTCGAGGGCAATGACCGACCCACTTAAGAGCCGGCCGAGTGCTAACTGCTGATAAAGTAATACATAATAGGTAAATATAATAACACAAGCTACACTTTGTGAAGCAAAACCCTGTGGCTGACACCTTTTACAGTGGTAGGTAGCGGCCAAAAGATAAGGAGACGTGTAGAGTGCCGCATATGGGCTACCTTCTTTTAAATATTTTCGACGTTCATAAGTGCTAAAATACTGGGCAAAATTGAATAAATATTTTTGATTTGATATCAATATGGATATCAAGCATGTAGTTATGGCGCAGAGTAAAATGTCCTCAAGCTGAGCCGCGATCTTCGTACCGCCTTGAGTCAATGAATGTCGTGTTGTTGTTGTTTTGTATAAAGGGATAAGCTATAAAGTGAGTGATATGAACTGTCAATTGCGGATGATGGCAGAGTTCCAAACGTGATTTGTTTCGAGTAGGGGAGACCTAGGAGAGTTGTGACAATTTTTACTTTAGGGGCCATATCTCGCTCAAAAAACATTCCACAGCTATGAATCATACAAATTAATGTAGCGCCGTTCCTTCTGTTTTCAAAACAATCACCAAAGTTAACTAAAGTATTGGGGTTTCTAAGAAAATCACCAAAATCTTAGACCACTCCCTCTGTCACAACTCTCCTAGCACCGAGGTAAGTTGTGACAGGTACCGAGGTGAGTTGTGACAGCATTGTATTCCATCTATTAGATATACAAAATACCATAATACTCAATGAAATGTGTTTTTTTTNAGGAGTAGACGGTGCGCGACCAGGAGTCTCCTCGGTCAGCGCCAGTCGTCAGCTGGCGGGGTTACCTGAGCAGCTCGTTGCACTGCTGCCTCTCGGCCGCGGTCAGCTTGTCGCCCAGCTGCAGCAGCATGGCGGCGCGCGTGTAGGAGTAGACGGTGCGCGACCAGGAGTCTCCTCGGTCAGCGCCAGTCGTCAGCTGGCGGGGTTACCTGAGCAGCTCGTTGCACTGCTGCCTCTCGGCCGCGGTCAGCTTGTCGCCCAGCTGCAGCAGCATGGCGGCGCGCGTGTAGGAGTAGACGGTGCGCGACCAGGAGTCTCCTCGGTCAGCGCCAGTCGTCAGCTGGCGGGGTTACCTGAGCAGCTCGTTGCACTGCTGCCTCTCGGCCGCGGTCAGCTTGTCGCCCAGCTGCAGCAGCATGGCGGCGCGCGTGTAGGAGTAGACGGTGCGCGACCAGGAGTCTCCTCGGTCAGCGCCAGTCGTCAGCTGGCGGGGTTACCTGAGCAGCTCGTTGCACTGCTGCCTCTCGGCCGCGGTCAGCTTGTCGCCCAGCTGCAGCAGCATGGCGGCGCGCGTGTAGGAGTAGACGGTGCGCGACCAGGAGTCTCCTCGGTCAGCGCCAGTCGTCAGCTGGCGGGGTTACCTGAGCAGCTCGTTGCACTGCTGCCTCTCGGCCGCGGTCAGCTTGTCGCCCAGCTGCAGCAGCATGGCGGCGCGCGTGTAGGAGTAGACGGTGCGCGACCAGGAGTCTCCTCGGTCAGCGCCAGTCGTCAGCTGGCGGGGTTACCTGAGCAGCTCGTTGCACTGCTGCCTCTCGGCCGCGGTCAGCTTGTCGCCCAGCTGCAGCAGCATGGCGGCGCGCGTGTAGGAGTAGACGGTGCGCGACCAGGAGTCTCCTCGGTCAGCGCCAGTCGTCAGCTGGCGGGGTTACCTGAGCAGCTCGTTGCACTGCTGCCTCTCGGCCGCGGTCAGCTTGTCGCCCAGCTGCAGCAGCATGGCGGCGCGCGTGTAGGAGTAGACGGTGCGCGACCAGGAGTCTCCTCGGTCAGCGCCAGTCGTCAGCTGGCGGGGTTACCTGAGCAGCTCGTTGCACTGCTGCCTCTCGGCCGCGGTCAGCTTGTCGCCCAGCTGCAGCAGCATGGCGGCGCGCGTGTAGGAGTAGACGGTGCGCGACCAGGAGTCTCCTCGGTCAGCGCCAGTCGTCAGCTGGCGGGGTTACCTGAGCAGCTCGTTGCACTGCTGCCTCTCGGCCGCGGTCAGCTTGTCGCCCAGCTGCAGCAGCATGGCGGCGCGCGTGTAGGAGTAGACGGTGCGCGACCAGGAGTCTCCTCGGTCAGCGCCAGTCGTCAGCTGGCGGGGTTACCTGAGCAGCTCGTTGCACTGCTGCCTCTCGGCCGCGGTCAGCTTGTCGCCCAGCTGCAGCAGCTTGGCGGCGCGCGTGTAGGAGTAGACGGTGCGCGACCAGGAGTCTCCTCGGTCAGCGCCAGTCGTCAGCTGGCGGGGTTACCTGAGCAGCTCGTTGCACTGCTGCCTCTCGGCCGCGGTCAGCTTGTCGCCCAGCTGCAGCAGCATGGCGGCGCGCGTGTAGGAGTAGACGGTGCGCGACCAGGAGCTCTCCTCGATCAGCTTGCCGGCGTATAAGGCAGCCTCGCGCCAGTCCATCATAAGCCTGGCAGGACGATTAAACCGTAAATAATGAATTCACATAAATGATTAATAAATATTATGTTTTTTATGGTTAAATTGTGCAATAAAAATGTATCTGATGTTTATCGACTGTTTTAATAAGAAGTCAATTAAAACGTTAGGAGTAAACTTGAGACTATATTAAGCTTTCATAATCAGCTCTGGGTCACAATCAGCTAGTGGGCATCCGTGGAAAATTAAATTAATTACAGGAAAAAACATCATTAATTTCTTATACGCCACGCCTTCAAAATTTATTTCAGTAGAACTTTGAACTATAAGAGGCTGGTAAATCTATTCTCAGGCTTAAGCCTTATCTTCTATGATATAAAAATGAATCGCAAAATGTGTTGGTAAGCGCATAACTCAACAACGCCTGGACCAATTTTACCAATTCTTTTTTTAAAATGTTTGTTGAAGTCCAAGGATGGTTTTTACAGCGAGAAAAGTATGAATAATTTCCGGGTAAACCCTAAAAAACTCGAAACTTCACCCCTAAGGATAAAACGGGGTCCACGCGTACGAAGTACGGCCGCTATTTTTAAATACAAGTCATCACTTAGCACAAAAGCACGCGGGAGTCATCCGGCGCGCGTCCCTCTGACGTTTCTAGTGTGATACTGACATTGCGTCAATGTCACTATGACAGCAGCTCATTGGCTATAACGGTACCGTTATTTTAACGTTATAGATTTTTCAGNGTAGCTATTCCTCCTCCGGGGATTCTTAGCACCCCCCGCCCCGTCGTCACCCCAACCGCTACCGTAGTCAGGAACAACGGGGCTGCCGGAGACTGGGGGCCTGGTTTTAGCTCTGCCGTTCATCAGGGGGGGGAGTTGCCAGTACTCGCCACGCTTGGCAGGCGGGTTGGCGAGCGCAGTTTTTTATAAGGTTTCGCACCTAGACGCTGCTGCCCATCTCGTGCTACAGGATTTAGTCGCCTCTTACGACACTGCTCCTGTTGGCGGAGGAGGAATAGCTATGACCTGATAAAGGTAGCGGGAAGGCGCTGGATGCAGGCCGCTACCAACCGTGCGATGTGGAAGTCATTGGGGGAGGCCTATGTTCAGCAGTGGACGTCCTGTGACTGAAATGATGATGATGATGATGATGAGATTTTTCACAATTAACAGAACTTACCCGTTAACCCACATGATCTCCCAGTAGCAGACGTGGCGGAACTGCTTCCACGTCTCCTGGTTGAGGACGACGCGGTTGTAGGTCGCGATGGCCGGCTCGAACAGGCCCCGCAGCAGTTCCAGACGCCCCTTGAAAACCAGGAACCACACGCTGTTCGGGTACACCTGGAAAATCATCTACAGTTAGCCTATGGTGTCCTATTCACAAAGTCAGCGTCAAACGTTCCTTTCCACGCCATAACAACGTCAACGTCTGAAAGAGAACACAACTGTACATTTCTATTGTAAGCATTGTGAAGCCGCTTAAAGCATAACCACAGAGATATAGAGAGATGAGAGAAATGATAGAGATGAACTAATGCGTTGAGTTCTAAACTCAGTGTCGCATTAGAAATTCACACACAAAGTAATCAAAATATGTGCTTATTACTCAAAGTTATGTAAATACCTTAAGTTCCTTCTTGAGGATCTTCTCGCATATTTGCAGGTCGCCAGTAGAGCCGATGAAGTGGCAGATGACGAGGTGGTAACCAAGGAGTGTGAGATCGCAGAGCACCGATCTCATCCCGGGCGCGCGGGAGCCAGCCTCCAGCTCAGCTAAGCCGAGAGCCTGAAAGCAACAATTTGATTATTATGTGTCCACGAAACTAGGCTTGTGTAGTACATGTACTAAAGTACAAAAGGAAGCAATTCCTTTATGTGAACGAGAACGAACTATTCCGTATTGGTCGTTCAAATCGGTCTTTTAGTTCACTTTAGTACAGCTGATCACGAATGAATAGGTGTGAAAGAGACGTGAAATTGGTTACAAACGCGCGCGAGCGAGATGGATTCGGCTCTGTGAGTGTGTTGCGAGTATTTTGCGACATTCTACTATAAGGTGATAGTAATAAAGACGTTTTTCGTCCGATCTGATTAAAAAATCGGTACTAAAATTAACTAAGAGTGCTAGAATGAGACGTGAGATTAGTGACATGTGAGCGCGAGTGAGATGGGTAGGGCTCTGTAATTGTGTTGCGAATATTTTTCGATATTGGACCATAAATGCATAGGAACAAAGACTTTTTTCGTTCCATCTACCTAATAGAATCAGTGTACTAAAATGAACTAATAGTACTATAAGACCGAACTAGTTCATTTGACCGATTGTACTAGTTCGGAGCGATCCGTTCAGTGTCCGAGTAAGAACAAGCCTACACGAAACCACCTATAATAACCGATTCTTTGCAAATACCTAAACGCCTCAACGTGACCACGACCGCTCTGCCAAGAGCGTAACGAATAAGAAGAAGAAACGTCTTTTTATCAACTAAAATAAAAAGACACGGGACATTAATTTATGAATGAGTCTTTGTATCAATTCCATCTTATTTTTATTTATTCAGGAGAACCAGGGTTTTACAGCGTGTATGTTGCTTAAGACATAAATTAATTATTGAATGTATGAATTATTGAATGATGTATGGATAAAATGTATAAATGAAACGACTTTTTTCCAGCTGTCAGAGTGAAGTGTGATTTTATTTTGTTAGTAAGAAAAAGTAAAAAAAACATTAAAAACTCTTTTGTTGGTTCTCAACAGTGTATTATGTAATAACAAATTAGGCAACGGGTAAACCACTTTTAGGTTCCCACAGGTTTTCCAAGGATTCCCGCAACCTTCACCAGCTAACCTAGGATGCACGCTGCCATAATATGGTCTGATCTTATCATTGATTTTAGGCTGCACAATACACATGTACTCGTATTGGCTTATCGTGTAAAAGAATCAACAATAAAACGATATATGACACGCATTCTAGGCAGGTTCTGCAGGTCGCTTGACCACATTATGGTCGCCACTCGAGAAGTAATCCATTCATATACATATACATACATTTAAAAGAATTAATCGATACAGAAAATAAAGAAAGAAAAGAAAAAGAAAGAGAGTCAGGGTTAGTTGTACAGATCAATAAAATAAACACTTAATATTTACAGATAAACACTTAATGCATTAAATTGTTTAACCTTTAACTATGGACGTCGGGTCTCAGAGGCCCACCCCCCTTTCCGATTTCCGGTTTAAACACCACGTGCTGCTCTCGACCATCTCAGTAGCTTCAGTTTTAACTGTGTTTGGACCGATGAGGTATAAAATCGCGTCTTCCGGCACTTATTACGTGAGTAATAACCATCCAAAATTTTCTCCGGGCCTGGGAGACCCGATGACTATAATTTCCATACAAACATACTTGTATGGATGTGACTTGTCAACTATAATTTTTTTTTATTATATTATTATAATCTTAAGTAAATTGCTCTAGTTTAATAATACTTAATGGCAGAAAGTATCTGAGTACATCAGCTATATTATTAGCCCAACTATCTAAAGAACATTTTAGGAGTAAGGTATTACTTGTAGACGATTATTCTTTTGAGTTTAGATGTCTTAGAATTCACTATTGCTGCAGATTCCGATTCTGAATGGTGTACATTTTGTCTATCAAAGCTCTCAAAGAAAGATAACACATGCCTGTAGAGATAATTTGTTTTTAGTGTTCTAGGCCACTGTGTATTATTTTAGTAACTTCAACCCTTGTCAAAATGTTTAATTTATGTCCTTCAGAAATTTTGTTCATGTTTTTATGTTACATGGTTATTAATTAGCAAGGAAAAAAATATTACTTTCATTTATTAATAATCGACTGTGATCAAGGAGCCTATTATGTGATGGCAAGTCAATTAACACTGAAAAATGTCTAAGTTTTTTAAATTTGCAAAAAAATAATTAAATTATGGTTAAAATTTGATTACATTTACCACTAAATCCTTTATTAATAGTTATTAGATATATATCAACTCTTTAATAAATTCAAATTAATTCAGATATGAAAATAAGAAGAATTTTAGATAGGGGTCTGTGAGACCCGACGTCCATGGGAGTGTGATTATTTTTTCACGTCCATAGTTAAAGGTTAAATAAACCTGACCTTGTTCCCGGAGAAGCCCACGAACTCCAGCAGGCTGATGATCTTCGGCGGCAGCAGCGAGATCATCAGGTTGAAGGTAGCCGTTCCGAGCCGCACGCCGCTGTGGAAATGAATCTTGGACTCTTCATTATCCCACCTCTTTTTCTCTAGAATCTTCGCGCAGTCTCTGGAAGAAAACATGAAGTTAAACCACAGAATAATAATAAGTACTACCACAGAATAATAATAAGTACTACCACAGAATAATAATAAGTACTACGTACAGAAGTTTTACTTCGCGAAGGTATTTAAAAAAATGTATGCTCAATGTCATTAACAATATGGTGTAATTTAGCCTGTCTCAAGAGTCAAGCACCATTTTGTTGACAAACGTCAGTGATCGGCACTGCGCCGAAGCTATAGGGCTGACTTCGGTAAAATGATGTGACGTGAGGTGCCAAACTGCGGAAAATGGCGGAGGAAATACATGATTTAGCATGAATTATCATGAATAATATTAACTACTTATTTACCTCTCAGTGTCTTGAGGCAACTTAAAAAAGTACATTCTGTGTTTTTATTATTATTTAGGCAGTTAAATACTGCACAGTATTTAGTACACCATTTTCTTTATTTTCTTCCATCATACACAAGAATACGCGTGCGTGAGTCAATGTTCGCTCGTATGTGAGGCCTTGTCGAATAGTATTCTGTAGGTGGGCCATCGTGCGTGTTTTGTTTTCGATGTAAACTCGCGGAGATGAACAGGCCTGGTACTACGTACAGAAGCTTTACTTCGCGAAGGAATTTAAAAAAAATATGCTCAATGTCATTGACAATATGGTGTAATTTAGCTTGTCTGGGGTGGTTAAACGGAGCGGAGGAGAGAGAGGCGATAGTTGGGTCGGGCTGTTAATTAGTATGAACGAACATGTATGAAAGTGCGCACATTTATTTATTTAAAAGACTTTATTGCACACACATAAGAATGTTCCGTACAAAAAGGCGAGCTTAATGCCATAAGGCATTCTCTCTCACATTGGTATCGGCCGATTTTTCATACAAATTAGAATCGGGCCCAACTATCAGCCGACAAAAAGTTTGTAGTCTGCGGGGAGTCTTAATAAAAAAATATGTACCTAATAATAATAATTAAGAATCTAAATAGTGACTCATTTGTAAAGTTGTTAAGGAAAGTTTACACAACTTCCTTATTTTTAAATATGTATGTTGCAGTTGGTGTACCTAACGAACGTATGTACTTACATTCTTACATTGTACACTTGTGAATTCTAGGTATGTAAGTAAGATGTGTCTTTATTTTCTATTTCCAATGTCTTGTAATATTTCCTTTGTTAATGTCTATTTCCGAATTACGCAATTTGTCTGTATTTACCTACGCATTTTAAAAATATTCTAGTAATTACCAGTAGTGTGAGCAAAAGAAACTAATTTGACTCTTCAAGATTTGCAATATAATGCAATCTAAATGAACAATTTAGGTACATAAGTGTAAAGATAACGCGTTTCTAATGCAAAACAACTAAAATTGACCTTGACTTCTCACATCACAATAATACTTATCTTAATCTTGAATAAGTATAGTTTCTTAAGCGACAATCTGTAGAACGAACGACGGCAAGTTAAGTTAAACGCTATGGCATCTATACATTTGTAATAGATGCGAATTTGCAATGTAAATGTTAGTCTGAATTTCTGTTACCTGTACGTACACGTCATAATTATCGGTTTGTTTATGAAAATTAAAGGCCATCTCGAATAGAGCTATAAGGAAATAAGTTTGTTAGTAAGAAACATCGTGGTTTCAACGTTTCAAGTATTTTTTTTTATAAAAGAACTTAACATTTTGTTAATTGATCAAGAAATCCAGTTTTTTATCAAGTCCTATTTGGTTTGGTTTAGATTTTGTGTTATCAATTGGTCTCTAAATTAGTATAGTTAGGATATTTACTGGTATACGGTCAGGTTTTCGATTGTAATGTTGAATAGATAGTCATAATTGGCGTTCAAATTTTTTAAAGTAATTACCTACATTGTAACCTTGGTGTTTATTGTGCTGAGTGCTATTGACAAACAAATATATTTACTTGTAACTGTTGTAACAGCTTTTGACTTTGATAGTCCCTTTAATCAAGCCGGTCAGGTCCTCGCCCTCCATTATTGTCATGGCGGCTTGCAGTAGAAGGGCTTCAGCGTAACATAGCTCGGCGTGAGCTTCCATGTCAGTGTACGAACTGTAATTGGGCTGTAAGAAATATAAGCTTTAAATCACATGGTCATTGTAAAGAAATAAAAACAGAACAGAAGAGATTTTTGTAATACGACCATTTTTGCGGCAAAATGCAACAAATTGTTTGCTGAGCAAAACAAAAAATGATATATTAGCATTTGTGCTGTTTTAGCTGCAAGGAATGTGTTGACTCACGTTGGTTACAATGTTACACATTGGCGAGATATCTGATGATGTCGATAAGATAAGGAAACAACTCTTATGTATTGTAAGATAAACCTTAAATCTGAAATAATATCAAGATTAGTATTGTTTGATGGTAAGATTAGCTAACCTTTTTGATAATGGTGCCAATGCTCTCGACAAGCGTGAAATTCCGCCTGTGTTGGTTGCATAAATTAATGCAGATCTTCAGTGCTGATAACGCGCGATTGATTTGCCCGTGATCAAAGGTAAGAATGGCGGGAATGAACTCAAAAATGGACGCCCCTAAGCTGTGGTATAGGGACGTGCGACACCTGAAAACATGAAAGTTGATATTTATTGTGAAAAATCAGAGAAAAGATAGAAGATAAGATAAAATCTGGGACGGAACAAAAAACAGAATATGTAGCAAGCTAAAGTAACTATGTGCCAGTCATACCTATATGCCACAGAACCGATTAAAGGTGGGGATTTTAGGTTAGAGAATTAAGACTGTAATGAGACTATGTCTCGGAAAATAGATGGATATTTTTTTAAATGAAAAAATTGATTGTAAATATGATAAAATACATAAACTATTCCAGATTGAAGCTTAAGATGACTTATGAATTAAAATATATGTAGATGCAACGAACATCCTTAATGTTATCGAAGTCAGTCCATTTACTGGTGGTCGCCAGTCGCCACTACCAATTACCAGTTCTGTGACCGATGTGGTCTACTCATAGCCATATAAGTGAGCAACTCAAAAAGGCATGTCAGTTTAAAAAGCCAATTGAGTTTAACAATTAAAAACAACAACAATACTCTGAAATGGAGTAACAAATTAAGGACATACCATGGCGACATGATGTCCATAGCCCCCACTAAATCGTTATTAAAGAATTTTCTAATGGCAACCTCACAGTCTTCAAATGCTAGTTGCAAGTCCATGTCACATCTGTAGATGAAAACAAATCATTTATATAACAAGAAGAAGAAATATATATTTGGAAGACGTTTGATTAACTGAAATTAGAAAATGATTAAACTTTTGCCTCCCCGAACATAATCACGTTGTTGGCCCACGTGCCCTGAGTTAAAAGCCCACCTCGCGTTTCTCTGCAGAGCAATTACAGGTGAAGCCATATAAATTAAAGGCAAATAAGTACCACAATATTTTTTCCAGTAATTACGATTAAGGCCCGGCTTCCACCAAGAGCAGAGCGGAGAAGTGTTTTGAATAATCAATCAAATTTCATTATTTCCACTTCTCTTCTCCGCACCGGACAGATCCGCCGCTGTCAAATTCTAGAATAATTTGAAGGCCCGACACTTCTCCGCTCCGCTGTACCTTGGTGGAAACCGGGCTTAATAAAAATAATCATGGTAATGTGCTTTAATTTTTATTTCATTACATTATTGCTTGAAGGAAAGTAAATTAATTTGCTATACTAACTTGGACTGCTCTGCGACTGCGTCAACGAAGTCATCCTGAAAAACAGGTAGTAATTTTTCATGAAAATACCTAAATAATTTAATTGGAAATTAAGCTAAATAATGAATAATGATATGCCTCACAATGTCTATTGTGAGGTATATCCCATCACAATGATTAGAAAAAAAGTAGGACAAATAATAAAAAAAAACACATTTACATTTGTAACAGGTTCGCTCAGGAAGTTATGACCTTTAAAATGACACAATTTGGTTCCTAGACCAAATAAGTATCCAGTTTGTTTGTGCACTTGATAGGTACTGGAGCGCGGATACGGGACTGTTCCCACCGCTGCAACTCCTGTGTAGCCAGGATCTACAGTTTGATCGCCAATAAAACCCCAACCAGTGAAGATCAAGTTTTTCCCAGGGAAAGTTAATTTGTCATTGGACCCGCAACCAAATTAATCAGACAGAAGAACATAGGAGGAGTTAGCAGCGCAGATGGTGAACAAAAAGAAAAGAAATAAAGCATTCGTTTGAAAATGACTCTGACTCACAACATCGTCGAAGTCCTCGGAGGCGAGAGGAGGAATGCCACCCTCCCGAAAGGCCGCAGGCAGACGGGACGGAGTGAGAGTGGGAGCACTTTCTTGTTTCAGCGCCATTTTCCTGTTATTGATTTAAAACACGATTTTTGTTTATCGTTTACATTTTTAAACATAATTCCCTATTTTATGTAGTATTAATCAAGGTTATCGAAAAACTGGCTACTGATCCCGAAAGTATTGTACTTCACGGGCATTAATTCTATAGCCTCTTTTCTGTATACCCGAATTAAAATTAAAACAATTTTAAATACAAGAATATAAACTCGGCGACAAGGTTGCCTAAATATTCAACTAAAGAAGATTACATGCAGATTTATTTTTATATCTCGTTAGAATCCACATAAAATTAGATAACCAATAAAGGTATTATGCATTAGTTTCCCATGCGCTCATTCATTTGTTGAAGTCAGTTCCGGAGTTGGTAACAAACTACAGTGTATATCAGATTATTGCAAAATTGCACCTGTTACGACTGCTTAGTTGCCACGAGCTTAGCTTGATATGCCGCCTGACATTATGTTGCTGCACTTTTTTTAATTTCGTTAATGCACTCGTTTTGTCTTTTAAAACAGGATATAGCTAAATTATTAAAACATTTTGCATAAAATAACATGTTTGGTTTTAAATTAGCATTACCCATCGGGTGGCACAACATAGTGAACATACATTATAAAAAAATACCAAGTAAAATACCAACCTATCGAGTTTATATGACGTGTTGAACTCTATATCTTGTGCATCATCTCACCTGAAACCAAAAGAAATACTGACTTTACAATCGGAATTACAATGGGTTTTTCATTTAGAAGTTGTGAAAGATTTTTTTCATTGTTGTTTACATAATTATTATTTTTCTTGAAATTCATCAACGTCCAGTTCAAGTCGTTATCTACGCGTAATAAAAGAAGAATGAATTATGTAAAATGAATTTAGCGAAATATTTGTAAAGTATTATTAAACAAACAATAAAACTCCTAAGTTGCGCTAATATGCCAAGTCAATCTGTGATAAAAGATTTGTTAGAGGCATTTTCCAATATTTTTATTTTCTTGTATAAAAATTTCCGAACACCTTTATTCTCTGTGTTTCTTTTTAACGCACGTAAAATTTCGTAGTCTTTCATTTTACTTGGGGCAAAACATCTAATTCGTTTGTTGTGACCCTGTTTGTAATTTTGTATCAGCTTGACGGTCAGCCAGCATCAGCGCGATTAAAACCAACCTCACTGATATTTAAAATTTCGTATCGACAAAAATAAACATGAAAATAAAAGATTCCATACATAATTGTAAACAAGGTCACAACAAACGAATAAGAAGTTATGCCCAAGGAAAATGAACGACTACGAAATTTTGCGTGCGTTAAAAAGAAATACAGAGAAAAAAGGCGTTCGGAAATTTTTATACAAGTAAAGAAATATTCCAGGAATTTTTCTAGAGTGCATAAACTCGATCGGAATTTTTTATACAAGTTAATAAAAATATTGGAAAATGCATCTAACAAATAATTATGAAACCTCGAAAAAAGAAATAGCATGTTCTTGCTCAATATCTACTCGTATCTTCATACTAGGAGATAGAGTAAGATATAAAACTTCGAAGAAAGAAATAGGCTAGTTGAACTAATCACGATGTCACGGGCACCGACTAAGGGGCCATCCATAAAGTACGTCACACGAATTTCATGATTATTTGACCCCCCCTCCGTCCTTGTCACAGGTGGTCACATTTCTGAGACCCCCCCCTCCCTAGTGTGACGTCACATGTTTTGCAATTTCACATCGAAAAATTATTAAATTAACAGCAGTTCCGAAATTAGTTTTATTTCCATTTAAATTAAGCACTTTTTTTTATGAAATCAACATTATATCAAAAATTTGAAACAATTGAAATGTGATGTCACAAAACTTAGGACCCCTCCCATAGCAGGGAATTTAGTGCAAGAACCCCTCCACTTTGGTATAGAAGGCTCATTTTTGCACCAGTTGTTCTTTGGGTGCTCCTGAGTAGATTTCCGTCGGTAGACATCGGGAGCCCCCCCTGTGGTAGCAGGGGGAGGGGGGGCAAGTTTCCTTTTGCCGCGCTTCACTTTAAGGCCCATATCTTCAAAACTATGGGTATTAGGGCAAGTGTGGTGTCATTTTTAGATAATTAAAGGATGGCGAATTCATTTCTAGAACAAACTTTTTGCCTTTTCATACAAAAAAATAGAAATATTGAGCAAAATTCACAAAAGCCAAAAAGTATTTTTTTAAATAAACGTCGTTTACTTTTAAACCACTGGAGATAATCTAATAAAAAAAATATATCCTGAAAGCTACATTTATCAGGATTATAAATATATACCATTGTATGGTACTTTTTTCGAAAAAAGTAGGTGAAAAAAATTTTTTCTTCAGGACACAGCGGGCGAAATTTACTGCGCGTCGGAAAAAAATATTTATTTTATCCATGAATTCATACTATTTGGTTCATAAGCAAGTAAAGATTGTTATTTTAGAATTTATTTAGAGTTCCTGGCACATCAATCTATCATGATTTGTATTTTTTCTTCTATTAATTTTGAACTCTATATGTAAGAGATAAGGTTGAAAATAGCTTAAATACATTTTAATGTTGAAAATATCTTAAGAAGAAAGCACTAAATAAATAACTTGAATTTGTCTAAACGTCTAATGATGATTATTATTTTAATTAACACTTATTTCTACATACTATTGTACCAGTGATTTAACGGAAAGGTAAGTGTGAGGAAAGTGAGGATTGATAATCATAGTACGGGAGATTATTTTTAGCATAAAGACTACGGCTGTGACCATTATAGTTGTTTTTTCAGACAGCACCAGCTTCTGCACTACTTCTTGCACTTACATCTTACCAGTTCCAGGCAAGCTTCAGCAGCTACGGGCAAATCGGTCCATGTAGGCTCCATGTTGCTATCGACTCTGGTCCATCCCCAACCAGTCGGGTAAAGGGAAGACTGAGTCGGTTGCTTGCAACTGATCCTATACACGAAACCCTTGATATACTGCCAGTAGCCAATGCTGATACAAAACTGTCTGAGTTATCTTATGTAGGGCCACACCTAAGCGTAGTCCACAGCGACCCATTAGGATCTTTATTCTCCTTTTTTATTCCCTATCATCTAAAATAATCCTTTCAATGAGTTAGGTGAATTAAGCGTCTGAGTGAAAGCCACCTAGTAGTCTTCTGATGCCGGATATGCTGACCCAAGCAGACCCATCCTTATAGTATTAAGTGTTTCATGAAACCACACATTATTCCACATGCTCGAGAGCTTCTGTTGTTAGGTCCATTTTATGGGACATGTGGTTCGTTTCATAATGCCCAGTTTGCGTACCTGTAATTGCTTGGGCTTAACTTTCATGAGTTTTCTCCATGACCCTGTATTTCCCTTTAGAGAGGCTTATATCGTTGGAGCTTTCCCATTCAGCCCTATGCTTCTTGGATATGGCCATATTATGGCCATGAGGTATGCTTTTAGATATAGAACTATCAGTTCTGACCCAATAGATAATCTCTGACCTTTGTCTCGCTAGACTGTCGGCTCTCTCATTGCATTCGATCCTTGTATGTCCAGGTATCCCACATCAGGGACACTTTGTCATGCCTTCCGAGTTTGTTCTTCTTTAAGATTGCATCTAGAATAATTCTAGACTCAACCTTCACTGAGGCGATGGCTTTGTTTGAGTGCTGCCTGGCTGTGGCTCAGGATGTAGATATTGCGTTTTTTAATCCCCTGTTTTTAGTGCACACATAATTATAGCGTAGAATTCAGCTTGAAATACTCTAGCAAACCTCCTTAAACGTTCACTGTGTTCGTAGTGTTTACAGTACACGCCCGCTCCCGTTCCCAAGGCCATCTTGGCTTGGAGCTGTCAGTAAAACAGATTAGGCTGTTCTGTTGGGATTTTGGTCCTTTTTTCTAGTCGTCCCTTGTTCGAGATCTATCCACTTCTAAGCTCAATCTACTGTTTTTTCCCACTTATCATATTAATCCAATAATCATTAAATTAATTCAATCAAATAATAATAATCATTAGACGTTTAGACAAATTCAAGTTATTTATTTAGTGCTTTCTTCTTATGATATTTTCAACATTAAAATGTATTTAAGCTATTATCAACCTTATGTCTTACCTATAGAGTTCAAAATTAATTGAAGAGAAAATACAAATTATGGTAGCTTCATGTGCCAGGAACTCTAAATAAATTCTAAAATAATAATCTTTACTTGCTTATGAACCAAATAGTATGAATTCATGGATAAAATAAATATTTTTTTCCGACGCGCAGTAAATTTCGCCCGCTGTGTCCTGAAGAAAAAATTTTTTTCACCTCCTTTTTTCGAAAAAAGTACCATACAATGGTATATATTTATAATCCTGATAAATGTAGCTTTCAGGATATATTTTTTTTATTAGATTATCTCCAGTGGTTTAAAAGTAAACGACGTTTATTTAAAAAAATACTTTTTGGCTTTTGTGAATTTTGTTCAATATTTCTATTTTTTGTCTAGATGGATTCAATTTTTATTTAAGTCTAACAATAATCTATACNTTTTATGCAAAAAGTTTGTTCTAGAAATGAATTCGCCATCCTTTAATTATCTGAAAATGACACCACACTTGCCCTAATACCCATAGTTTTGAAGATATGGGCCTTAAAGTGAAGCGCGGCAGAAGGAAACTTGCCCCCCCTCCCCCTGCTACCACAGGGGGGGCTCCCGATGTCTACCGACGGAAATCTACTCAGGAGCACCCAAAGAACAACTGGTGCAAAAATGAGCCTTCTATACCAAAGTGGAGGGGTCTCCATACAAATCATTGCACTAAATTCCCTACTACCACCCCTTGTCACACCATGTCACACTTTGTCAACCCCCTCCCCCCCTCTTTACGTGTGACGTACTTTATGGATGACCCCTAATGCACATATAATAATACATAAACTCTTAAATTGGTCTATCAGCGTAAAAACGCTATCATTGCGACGGCAAGATTTTTGCTATTACGTCAACAACAACGTTACAATCAACAACTTCGCGATTTTCATTTTGATTATTGCGTATAATTTTAATTCGCTTGGCTTAGCAAAATTCATGATAAGGCCACCAGTTACATTTGTGGGACGTGTTAGAAATAATTTAAACTGGTTACAAATTAGTAATCGGGTCGACCATTTTGAATTGCCACGTCTTTGATGGCGGGGCTATTAATAAAACATTACGTCTGTATCAAAAACTATATTATAACCTTTAGCATTGAGGCTCAAGACTGACTTCCGTACGGGGCGCGAGGTATCATTAACATATTCGTTAGAACAAAAGAGCTCTTGAGAATAAGTGGGCAAAAATTTAAGTTTCAATGACGTCATATAACTACAAAAGTGAAAAACAATCTTGTTTTGAGTCGTAAATTTTTCTACTCCTAATTATTTCTTGAGCTCGATGATGATAATGATGATTTCAAAGAAACATTGCAGATCAAATTGTTGATTTATGAGTAGGTTCATCACAATACCATATTATTACAAAAAATAAAATTGTAAAATGAAAGCAGCTAGGAGGTCAGGTTAAGAAGCCTATTATGTTTTTTTTCTGTTGGTTGATTACTAAAAGAGCTAGATTAAAAAGTAATTTCAAAAACACAATAAAACGACTTAAAAACAGCTAAGTACCTACCTATTGAAAATAAACTTTTTTTTTTAACTAAATTCTTGTCAATGA